TCTGTGGTTCAGGAGTGTCTGGACTTGAGGAATGAGGGTTTGTAGCTGGTGTTGAGGAGTCCATCAGCTGATCAGGCAGTGACACCAGGAGTTTACAATATGAACCTCTTCATGATATTCTCATTTTCTGACACTCTGGATTTTAGTTTTTCATAATTTGTAATTTATAATCATCAAAATTACAAGAAGTAAAGTCTTGAAACGTTTCACTCTGTGTAATGAATCTATTATAAATGTCCCATAGAAAAATCTAACAAAGACAGGTCCTCTGAATGGATTAAAAAATAATAACGCCTTGAGACAACAATGAGGCGTTCAATGACCAGATGTGTACGTATGTGTAATATGTAATAAACGAGTTTCACTTTATGAAATGATCGACAAAACAAATGTTCTCATTTGTTTTAGAAGCATCGGTTGATGTCAGCCAAGAGTGCCGTTTCCTGGTCATTGAACGCCACATTGTGATAACACGTTCAGGGACCGGAAAAAAAAAAGCGTTGTTTTTTTTTTGTTTTTTTTTCTCCTCTCAAATTATTTCGGAATTTTCACCGTATTTCAGATCCGGTCTTACCAACCGGCGTTATAACCGTGACTGTTTAACCAGCGGGTGGTGAAAGTGTCGGTGTGTCCAGAGAGAAGTGCCAACGCAGCGTGTTGGATGGAACAGCTGGGAGGAGGGGGAGGGACGGGGCGTACGAGGGGTTGTCCCCCCGGAGTCCCTGGGTTCAGCCTCTTTGTTTGTGGGCTGCAGGGCTTCGAACATGTCGAAAGTGAACAGCGGCTCCCCTGGCTGTCGGGCCATGGTGATGGCCACAAAGTATCTGTCGAACTCGAGCTGGAGCTCCGGCCTCAAGCAGCGGGAGATGTGCGCGCGTCAGGGCCGCGCGGTGAGCTCCACCGCCGCGGGGACGGGCGGCAGAACCGCGGCCTTGGCTCCACTCGAAAACCTCGGCTACGTCTCCGCCGCGGACCGACACGCGCTGCCGAACCGGAGTCTCATTTACCGGGACGTGAAGGCGTTCCTCAACGAGGTCGGCGGAAACCCGCGGGAGGCTCGGTACTGGCTGACCCAGTTCCAGAGGGCGACCTCGGCCCAGTCTCCCGCCTTCGCTGTGCTGGAGGTAAGCTACACCAGTACATGACATGTTCAAACACCAGTAACCTCCGGTGAACATGACATGTTCAAACCAACATGGAACAATAGTTGGTAACACTTTACAGTAAGGTACACACAATTTGATTAACTACTAGCAACAAATCAGGAACAAATCAGGACTTAATAGATACTTAACCAGTACTTATAGCCTTATTAGGGAACTACTGGTTCCTTACCTGTGAAACAAGAGGAACTAATCAGGAACTAATGGGTAGTTAACCAGTACTTACTGGGGAACACACAGCCAAGCCTTATTAAGGGACTACTTGTTAGTTACCTTGTAAATGAAGAGGAACTAATGAAGAACTAATGGGTAGTTACCAAGGAAACTACAGAGGAACGAA